ATCTATCTATCTATCTATCTATCTATCTATCTATCTATCTATCTATCTATCTACCTACCCACCTTCATCCATCCATCCATCCATTTATTCACGTATTTATTCACTTATTTAACTACTATGCCTGGTGGCGTAATGGTTAGTATGCAGTACTGCAGGCTAACTCTGCCCGCAGCCAGGAGTTAGTCTTGACTGGCTCAAGGTTGACTTAGCTTTCCATTCTTCCAAGGTTGGTAAAATGAGGACCCGCATTGCTAGAGGGAATACGTTGACTTTGTAAACTGCTTAGAGAGTGTTATAACTATTCTCAGTTTTCATTATCCCATTTTAAGAAGGTATTTCCCTTTTAAAGGGCTGTTCTCCTGGAATGTCAATTTGGACTCCTGCATTTCTGAGCAAGCTGATGCCTTCCTCTTCAGGTAGATGGAATGGTGATCATTCATGAGGGCATATATTCTCTGCTATATGAAAGGGGATGCAGGCATTTGGAACAAATCAGCTAGGAATCCTTGATTAGATAGTGTCTAACTAATATTCTCCAAACTTGAGTATTGTTAGTATGGTAGGATAGACATATAAGGATAGACATATAAAACTAGTCCACTGAAGGCATTTAAGCTGCATCAACACAGGGAGCCATGCCCAGGGAAACTGAAGGTTTTTTTTAAAAAAAAAGCCCTAGTGCAGACTTCTCTTTCCAAATGTAAATAATTGTTTTGTTGAGGTCAAGTAGTATCAACAACAGGATTTTAATCCTGATGCAAAAAGCTTGATCTTTGTGAGCTACAGGGATTTTATCACTTATCAAATGAAGAAATATTACATTTGGCATTCATTTCCATTTGGCCATTCTCTCTTTCTCTCAAGGGTTTTTAATGCATATAAACACATTTTATGACTTTGAAATGAAGAATAGGACCTGCCCCTTTTTCTGGCCAATCGGTGACTCCTTGGGCACATTGAAAGAATATAGCATAGTCTTTGTCACTGGGAATTTTGAACCATGAACAGACCATTGTAATAACCCCCACTGCTCCAGTATGAGTTTTTCTGAAAACGCAAAATTGGAAAGTTAAATAAACATTTGACTTGGGCTCCACCTTGGTTATTCGCCAGCTCCTGAAAAGGGCTGTTACCTCTCCCCCATTTTGCCATATTCAATTTTAAATAAACTTATTCTGAAACCAAAATACATAGAAAATGTTTACAAAAGAAAAAAACTATACCATATCATTTTAGCTGTAAATAGTTACAATTCTCTATATAGCCATCTAATGTAAATATTCATGCACATGTACAATGTATATTTCTAATACATTGATATAATTTACCACCTTGCAATTGTAAGACAGAAAACTAGTAATGGGAAGAGATGGGTCAAGAGAAAATTTTAATTTTAATTTACCATGATTCAGAAACCAGTTCTTGACATATTAAATAGTGATTTGCACATTAATAAGCTATATATTATTCTGATTATAGAGAAATTGAGCAGGAAATAATGCCTTTCTCTATTTTTAAACTGTAAAAGTCTGTAAATATTTGAGTTTAATTTCAATATTTGCATGAATATCTATTACATATGTAACATAGCAATAATTTTGATATGCCTAATGCTTGTCCATCTGTCTCTGAGTATATTAAACAGGTTGTTCAACAGGTCGGTTTATTGCATGCCAAACAATATAAACTGTGAATGTATCAAACATTTGTCTTCAAGAATATAAATTTACCTTACAGGGAGGCAAGATGAACTACTGAGTTTTTGCTGTTCAAAGCCACTTTCACTTCTTAGCAATATGTGAAATAGCCTCAAGCTAGAAATGTTTCCAGTGGTTTTATCCCCACAGTAACAACATTGTGGATAGCTTGAACTGAGAGAGAAGGATTTACTCAAAATATACAGTGAGACTAAACTCCTCAGTTTTACTTCGACTCTGGAGCAACCCACCAATGCTCTATTTCTTAGTTAGTATGTTCCAGCCATGTTGAAGATCCTGGAATTCCTAACCTACATTCAGGGAGTAAAAGTCCCAATTAAATTACGTATTGGATTAGGTAGAGCCGCACCAGAAATTCCTCCTGAACATTCCTTATACCTGAGACTGAATTAGAGGCATTTGGTCCCGCTGTCTACCACTCCTTTCATTGCTATTTGTAACAAGAATAACCACCTGGTCACCCAGAAGTGAGTTTGGCAACATCCAGAGCAGCAAAAATCATTTCCAGAAACTCCCTCCCCCACCCTCCCCAGGGTTGAAGGGAAGATAAATTTAAGATAAATATCACCGGGTAAAAAAATGAAGGAAGCAGCATTTTAAACCACTGGCCATCCCAGGCCATGCCACTTTATATGCTCTCCAAGCTTCCTGTGCACGAATAGAAGTTTCCAATTATTGGAAGCGCTGAAGGAGGCCTATGAAATGAGGGGAAGCCAAGCCGCAAGACCATTTTGCTTTGCTGTAGGAATTGGGTGGGTGGATGGGCTGCGCTGCTTCATGCAGGAAACAGCATCAAAGGCAAGCTTTCCAGGTGCCTTGCCTGAGGGAAATGGCCCCTTTGAAGCTTTGCACAGTCCTGCACGAGCCATAAAAATTGGATTTGAATGCTAGTATGTCTTGACTTACCAGGTTCACCTTTGCCTTTGGAATAAAGAACATTGTTAAAAAAACTTTTTTTTTAATTTAAAATATTCGCCGTAGCTCTTGAGCCCCAAATTTTCCACAACTTAGAAAGATGAATATTATGTAATGTCCATCTTGCTTATAATTACAGAGGAAAGGGAATAAAAAGAGGAAGAGTTGAGGAAGGCAACTGTTTAGAGTTGTCTACCTTAATTCAGCTGTTAGCTGTTCTCCAGATGTGTTGCAAGATGACCCAATCAGCAAAGCTGAACTCTGGTCTCATTTTCTGGAGGTAATGGGACCTGAAGTTCAACAGAGCTAGAAGACATCAAGTTGGGAGAGGCAGTATTTACATTTTCTTCCACCCACTCTCCTGCAGTAATTGCTGAATACCCAAGAAGCATTCTTCAAAAGTTGTGTGGCTTCCCCTAATTTATGATTTGGTTTTGGAAGATATGGTGACACCTAGTGGGCATATTTGCTCACAAAGCCTTTGTTGTGCTGTCAGAGTAGAATGTACATTTTGCTAAGAATATGGGTAGGAGAAGAGAATCTTCCTCCCTGAATATTGAGTATAACTCATGTCATAGGCATCATTGGTCACATGTATTTGTATCTTTTAGCAGAATATTATTTTTTCTGTATGGTGAGGTGTGTGGTTTTTTAAAAATCATTTCTGGCTTAGATCTAAAATGCCAATTTGTTCTTCTGTCTCGAATGTATTTTACTTCAATTTTTACGTGTATGGTATTCATTCATTCATTTATCAGATTTATGTCCCAGCTCTCATTCAGGAGTTGAGGTATAAAGTAGGTATACAGCACTGCTTTCTGCATTTTTCTTTAAATGAAGAGACAGATTCAAAAGTACAGATACTTCTGTTCAAACTTTTTTTAAAAAAAAAAAGTCCAGTAGTTTAGATTTTTAAAAAACCAATAACATCAATCTCTGCTCTATTTGTTTTCTCTCCACATTGTCAAGCTCCTTTTGAACATGGTAGACATTCTGGGGGACCACTGCTTTCCCATCTTTTACTTTCTTTTATTAAGAAATTTGTTCAAACTTCCATTGTCACCAACACAAGATCGGAAGATTGCTTCCATGAGTGGAAAAAACATGAGAACATTGCCATACATTTGTGACTAAAAACAAGCTTAATATAAAATCCTTTGATTCAGAATGGCTTTGTACTGTTGCTTGCAGTTGTACGGTAGAAGAGCACCGTGGGAGGACCCTGCCAAGTGGGTGATGGACACTTATCCATGGGCAGCTACCCCGCAACATCACGAGTGGCCTCCTTTGCTGCAACTGCGTCCAGAAGATGTTGGGTTTGATGGTTATTCTATGCCACGGGAAGGTTCAACCAGCAAACAGCTTCCACCAAGTGATGCTGAAGGAGACCCTCTGGTGAGATTCTCAGCACAATATTGTTCATATATGGGACATTAGATGATAAATGACTAAACACTGGGAAGTATCAAGGCTATGTTTCCAAATTAATTTGTAAAATATTCTAAAGGTACACTCCAAATTGGCATAACGGTGCTTTGTGATTTGTACTAGGAATTTAGTATTATGTTGGATAGAAATGAACTTACTGTGGGGCTTTGTATACTGTGTTTTATACAGGTTGTCAGGGTTCCAAGTAACAGCCCAGATGAAATCAAAACTCCAAGGCCAAAGGCTTCCTCAAAGAATAGATTTATTAGGCATGTTATATCGGCACATTTGGTGAAAACCCGAATCTGAAAACCCCGAGTTTTCCCCACTGAATCCAAAGTCCAAAGTTCTTTCCCTTAACATCACATGCCCATTCAGGCCCCTTCTCCCATCCTGGAGTCCTTTATCCACTTCCCTCCAGGTGCTGGTGAGAATGTCCTTGGTCCACCGAGAAAAAATATATGTTATTTTGGCTACATGATCCCCCACTATCTCTACTCACCCCTCTGTTTCCCATAGCTCCATCCAGACTTGCTGTGGCAATCCTGAAAATGCTTAAAGATGGCTCCAGGGTTGACACAGGTAGTCCTTGACTTACGACCACAATTGAGCCCAATATTTCTAAGTAAAACATTTATTAAGATAATTTTGCCCCATTGTACCACCTTCATGCCACAGTTCTTAAGTGAATCACTGCAGTTGTTAAGTTAGTAACACAGTAGTTAGGGGAATCTGGCTTCCCCATTGACTTTGCTTATCAGAAGGTTGCAAAATGCGGGACACTGCAGCCGTCATAAATATGAATCACTTGCCAAGCATCCAAATTTTGATCATGTGACCATGGGGATGTTGCAATGATTGTAAGTGTAAAAAATGGTCATAAGTCTGCTGTAACTTTGAATGGCTATGAAATGAACTGTTGTAAGTTCATAAAAGATTCCCTTTATTGATCTAAAGCAAGTTTTAGTACAAATATTTTTAATAACTTACATTTATAATAACTGAATCCTTCAAAAATGCTGATCCAGACTCTAGGAACTGGGCAATTGCATAAGTTTTGTTATATTAAATGTGCTGACTAGAACTAAGGATAAAGAGATTGATTACCTAATGCAGCTGCTATTGAACATTTGTAGGAAAGAATATTTGTTACAAAACATGGCTTCATTGTCTCTATAATAAGGCTGTCCATATATGTGACAGTGTTTTATGTTACAACCCAGTGCCATTGCAGAAATTGCTGAAATTTTCTGTGGCTTCCCACGGAACTGCTGCACTGTTTGAAACCCTGCAAATGAACAGCAAACTGTTTCTTCTGTATTGATAACATTATGTGGCAAGTGGAAAAGTCATAGTGGCATTAAACCATGTGGATCTGACATAATACTGAATTTTCATTGTTTATTCAACCAGTGCTAGCCAGGATATCCAATGTGTGTTTATTTTTTCCATATAGTTATCCTCCCTATTATAATACAAGTCAATGTATCCAATTCTATCCTAGGAAAGAATTAGTTGTTAGGTATATTTTTTTTTGACATGTGGGTAGAGCAACTCCATCTATGATGGCAAAAAAAAATAGTGATTGGATTTTGCTGAAATGTAGACAATCCCACTAAGTCAGAAAACCAGATCCTTTTATCCTCTATAACAGTATTAGGGAAACTTTCTCAATGATTGCACATAAAATATGTTTTAATCTGTAATGTGTGGTACTTTCTTGTGCTGTAGAAGTCCTACGAAACTGAGGAATGCCAATTTAAAGGTTCACACTGATATGAACAGAGCCAACAGTGAAGGCTGTTGATAGACCTGGTATGTTCTAAGCCCAGGCCAAATTGCTGATTCCAGAGACAGTTCATGAAATCCATGTCTGCTTCAGTTTACTCCAGAGAGACAAGTGACCATGGTGGTCAAGTAATATTTTTGTCCTTTCTGTATTTCACCAGATGAACATGCTGATGAGGTTGCAGGAGGCAGCTAATTATTCAAGTCCGCAGAGTTATGACAGTGACTCCAACAGCAATAGCCATCACGATGATATCCTTGACTCATCCCTGGAGTCAACATTATGAATAGAACTAGACATGATTGCTTCCAGTGGTCCATCCTTTGCCTCCCTTAGAAAAATGAATCATCAAGCCATGAAGAGAATTGACCTTGGTTCAGAAGGACATCTCAGTATTAGAGCTGCAAGAACAATACAATCTCTTCCACCCTCTCTCTGCCTCCCCATTCAGTGTCAAAGATGGGTGCAGGCAACCCAGCTGATATTTTATATCTCGTGTTTCATTTTCCTTAATAAGAACTGCACTATTTTGGTTTTGTTTTGTTTTGTAGTTTACATTGCTGTGAGTTCACATGCCTACGACACTGAACACGTTATTTTCATAAAAACAATGGTGCTTATCTAGTTGTGTCTGTCCATTGACCAAACAACATCTGCTTGTGAAGTGGATTACCATTATCTGTGCTCCTATATTTAAAGGGACATCTGGAGTAAATTTTGTTACAAAGGTGCAGGGGAGATGAGCAGAGGAAAATCTGAAGTGCAAGAGAATTGGGTTTAATTCACATAAGATGTACTCCATTCATCATAACAATCTCTGGGGAGAGTGAGTTGGAGGCAATATATGAAAAAACATTTGCCATCAAAGTTATGAACCTAAGAAGCATTGTGCCACATTAGGTCCAAAAAGGGAATGGATCTCAGCTATGCTGCTTCTGTACAAACTCATTAATGGCTGGTTTTTCCAAGTCATTTTTTTTTCAGCCTAATCTCAATAATTCTGGTGCTGTAATAATTGCTCGCCTTGGTAATAACATTCCATAAAAGGCAAAGAGATAACAAATAGGGAAGTTTAAAATATTCACATATATAATGCAAAACAGAGTTCTTCTCCAAGTTGAGACCACGGTTCCTTGTTTTGGTTATTTCATTTGTTTATATCGTTCCAAGCATTGGGCTGGATCCCTTGAGCACAGTAGCAGTACATCTTTATATAACCACCTCTGAAGTTGCCAGTGTTAAGTAAAGCAACAATCATGGAGTGTTTTATTTATGATCCAAAGTATGGGAACAACACATTTAAGAAAAAACCAAAACAAGCTGCTAAAATTTATTTTCATATTTGCTTCAGAATTCTGACTGTTGAAGTTTCTTCTTAAATCTGGATATCAATGTTTCTCTGCAACTAGAGAAAGTAATGCTTTGTAAAAAGTAAAAAAAACAACAACCAAGGCTCCAGACTGTTGGTCTTGGATTCACAACAGTTCAGTGGGTACCAGCCTCAAATACATAACATAGGGGTGTCATTTCCTCAAATCACTCATTTGGGTTTTGGGATCATTTCATAACTATACCAAATGTTCAACAAAGCTCGGAAAAGACAGTTGTCTGGATTGAAAAGTTAATTCCGTTCTTCCACTGTACTGTACAGTTTCTTTTTTCTTTTTGTTCCAATAACATCATGTCCCATAGCAATCGGTTCCTGAAGTTCCACTCCTCTAAATCGGAGATTCTCCCCAACCTTTTGGGCACCAGGGACCGATATTGTAGAGAGAGATTTTTCTGCAGACTGGAGAGGGTGTGGTTTCACGTGCTGCCTGCATCCCACGGATAGGGCTTTGCTTGTTTGCGTGGCCCGATTTCTGGCATGCTGTGGCCCAGTGCTAATCCACAGATGGGGGGGTTGGGGACCCCCACTCTAAAAGGCTTGCTGTGAGACATAGGGAAGCTTCCATTTTATTGAATGGTGTCAATTTTCTTGGGATTAATGGTATTCAGCTTTCTAATGATTGCAAGTGGCATCTGTTTTTACTTGTCCTATACAGACCTTATTTCTGCACAAGGGGTACATGAGGACCACACCTAATGGCTACCCACCTAGCACGGTTAGCCCTCCTTGACCTCCCTCCCTAATATTTTGATATTCAAAGGGCAGTCAGAAATGATTTTTGGAGGTCCTTTGTCAGAGATGGCACAGGCATTAGCATGGAACCAGGAAGAAGCGAGAACCTGGGGAAAGCAGCTAGGAACCATATCCTGCATATGCAGTAAAGAGAATACTTGAATGGAAAGTGTGGTGCCTCTTAAATTTGATATTATACAACATTACATTTTTCTAGGTGGTCACCCAGAGCCAAGGCAATCTTTGGTTTTTCCTCTTCCGGGAGGAAAAGGAGAAACTCAAATCTTCTTGCCCACACAACTTCTGTAAGGCTTGTGTAGGAATCTATTATTAGAAAGAATAACCTGCACAATGCTGGAGGTGGAGCAAGAGAGAGGCTGCAGATTCATTGTTACCCAAAGCCTTCTAAGTTCCCAGTCCTCCAGGTTAACAGCCTCAAATTGGCTGTCAATTTTCTGTCAAGTTCAAGAACCAGACTGGATGTATTTCCTTGTATTGGTTTCAGTCAAGCAGCTTTTATAAAATGGTGGTGGTGGAGCTGCCAGCAGGGGAGAAAGAGTAGGAAAATGGCTCCTCTAATTTGAGAACTCAGCAAGGCTGAAAATGGTGCCTTAGGTTCAATTTCAAAGCTCCCTGAAAAGACAGAACTGTTTTGCCATTTCCTTAGGGTAGGGCAAGGCATTAGTATTTCTTCAAAATCAACTTGTATGAAGATACGTATAAGTATCTTCTTGTCAGAGCGTCACATATGAATTTATGGATAAATAATTAACTTCAGCCGCCTGTTACAAAACTTGGGACTGAACATTGGTGAATCTCTCACGATAATAAAGAACCTCTTTTTTAAAAAAGAAAGGAAGAAAAATACTCCATTTTACTTAACCAAGTCTTAAGTAAAGGAAAATTATTTCCATAAAGTTTTTTGGGTTTTAAACCAAAAGCCAAGCAGAGAACATGACTCTGAGCCCTCCTTATTTTCTTCACCTCAGAAGAAAACTGGGGAGAGAGGTTAAAAAACTATTTAGTGCTTTTGCTAGACAGTGAAAAGATTCACAAAAATTTGGACACCAACTGGTGTCATTTGAGGGGGGGGAACAATAGCTGATATTATCAGCTCTCTCAGGCTATACCTCAAACTAGAACTGAGGTTCTCAACAACACACACACACATACACACACACACACAAATACATGCAAGCCTTTTCAGCTATCTTTGGGTGCTGATTTTTTAAAAGTGATGCCTTACCAAGTTTCTACAGTTGTATTTTAATTCCATTAGTGTTGTAGTTTGTGATTTTTAAAGAATTAGACAAAACAGGGCTATAGAAATCTCTTGGAGTAAAATGATGTGAGTTGATGAAATGAAATATTTGATACCCCTAGTTTCTAAAGGTAACAAAAATCAAGGAAGAGATTTAAAAAGGGGGAAACAGCTTTTTAAAGATCTGTACATCAACTTTTAAACAACACTTTATTGGCTATTGTTTATCCAATCCAGGCAAAAGCAAACCTTTTTTGTGACACTGAATGGCATCACAACTAAAAGAAAATTATTTTTTGCTTTGTTTTAAAATATGCAGGTAGAATATTTGCTACAGTTTATAGGATTTATAAGATAATATGATGCAACAGACACACAGTTTTGCTACCATGATAAATTTATTCAGTGGGTAGCTTTTCTTATACCTCATGATTTTCTGCTCTTAGTGAACTCAACCCATTGTCCTTTGAGTTTGTTGTGACCTTGCTATATTATATATGTTTTTTCTTAGTATGGTGAAATAACAGTGGGCATTAATTGTTGAATCAAGGGTGAATTCTTGAGTGTTTATTTTTCCTTAACAAAATAGAAAAAAAGGTATAATGCAAATTCTAATCTGATTCCTACAAATGGACCAGAGTAAATCATAATCCTAAAGTGATCCGACCATTGTACTCGGTCCATCTAGCTCTTCAGCACCCTGCTTCCCTTCTGCTTTTAAAAGCAAAACTATGAGATGCAAATTTCCAAATGCTTGATTAAATATTCCAGGATTGCAGGAAGATTATTTTTGTTCATACGGAGAGCATTCTCTTCTTAGCCTCTAATTTGTAGTATTGGATTAGTTCAGAATGAGCATTCAAGTATCAGAGACATATATATTCTAAAATGGCATATAATCTGAGCTTTATTTCCTCTCTCCACTACCCATTAGATAAGAAATTGACTTGTGTACATTGCCTAAGGCAGAAGTCTCCCACCTTGGCAACTTTTAAGACTTGTGGACTTCAACTCCCAGAATTCCCCAGCCAGTTTAGAAGTTGCCATAGTTGGAGACTCCTGCCCTAAGGAATAGTGGAAGGTATTTCCTCATTTGATTTGCCAAGGGACATACCTAGATCGATGTGGCCATCAGCTTTCTAGTTGCTATGCTTTCTGTAAGCAGCTGTCACACATTGCATGTTCTGCTGAGCATCTCCACAGGGTGTCTATTTCCTGCTAGGTAAAGGGATTGTATCTCTATTTGTTCCAGACAAATCTGGGATAGTTGATATAACAGATATTTTCGTATCTACACCTAAGGTTAAGGGAAGCCTCTCAGGTGTTTTCAATTACAAGTCAATGAGAGCCTGCCTGCATGTCCAATCATCACAACATGGGAGCTCTGATACATCTGGAGAGCACCAATATGCCCATTTGGCAATTTTATATATGGAAAACACTCAGGAAGTCCACTTATCTGATTCAAAATGGCAACTGGCCTGTGGAATAAGGAAACAATCCAGTTACATCATTTGTATGATTGCCAGGAGAGTGAAGTATAAATCTGACGGTATCATAATCTATGGAAACAAATATTTAGAATTTGTTCTTATGTAAATTTTTTTTCCTAGTTCTTACTGCAAGTGATTTCCATAGAAATACAATGTATGGATATTTATTCTTTGACTACATGACTCCCTGTAAATTTACTTAATGTATGCAAAACGTCTTTTATAAGAAATGGTTGCATATTAATCATGGTTCCTTGTGCATGAATGCTCTCTGCTGAACCTCCTGGGGGCAAGAGTTTAGCTGAATATTTCAAAGGAAGAGAAGCTCTTTTTGTTTTTTTAAGGGAATGAAATGATTGGAGAAATGGTCTTGAGTTAAAGATTTGCCTATATATGGCTACCTCGAGTGGCACAAGAAATGTTTGCTGGGATTATAAGGCTGACAAAAATGACATCTGAGTTATGACCCAGGTTGGCAGCTGAGATGACTCAGAGCCTTGTTTATTGACACCTTTAATTGAGTCTTTCTGCTGCCAGCTGCCTCTTGCCATAAGTAAAGAAAAATTTGAACTTTTCTTGCTCTCTAATAGAAATTGCTGAGATTACTGAGAAATGATTCACATGGAATCTTGCTTTATTTTTTTAAGTTATCACAAACTGTAACTTCTAAAACTTCGGGAAGCAGGGTTGCCTGTTACGCACATTTTTTAAAAACTAGTTCAGTTGAGGTGAATGTCTACCTTTTCCTTTTAAAATGACATCATATATATTTCATCCAGATTGCTTCCAGCTTTGCTTTGTCCCCACCCCACTCCATGTCCCAGTGCACAAAGCTGGCAGGATTTCCTGTTGTTTTAGTACAAGACTATGCAACATTCTCAATGAGTTAGAAATTGGAACTTTCTTTTCTCTTTGCTACAGAACTGTCTAGAATTGTGCAACTCATATGTCACACGTTAGACGCCATTTTGTTTTTAAGCTGATGCAGAGACAGGGAGGGTTTGGCTAGCCTCCTTTTTGGTATATTTTTTCAAAAAAAAAATCCAACCTAAAATACTGTACTGTTAATACTTTTTTTATATATTGTGTCTTGAAATTTGTCTAAATGTGGCAATTCTCTTTTAAGGAAAATGAATGAAAAAAAAAGTGGCTATTGAACGGAAGGTTGCTGTTTTGATCTAGTCGTTTCCAGTGGAACCATTTATGAAAAAATGAAAAAAATCTTCTTTAAGATGTACATTTTTGTCACTGTAACATAGAAATGTAAATAACTGATTACAAGTGCTGCATTTTGATGAATTTTTTCTAGCCATTTTTAAAAGAGAAAAAACTAGGAATTGAGTATTTTGTGTACAGTATGCTCCCTTTCCGGCACCTCTCTATTTAATTTTACATTTTCTTTTAGGATTGGGATTTGCAACTGGCCTGTTTTGGATCATGCCATCCTTTGGTTCCCTTATCCTCTCCCTTCCCTCCTACCCCTGTGTCATGGAGAATAAAGCTAATGATTGTACCGGTCTTAAATTATTCATGATTCAATAAATTTGATGCTTATTTATTCAGATGTAATGTTCTTGCTGCCCTTTTTATTCCCTAAGGCTACATCATCTACATCATCATCATCATCAAAATTTTTATATATATATATATGTAGCCCTATAAATGACAACGCAAAAGACTAGCAGTGTCTCTAGTTCATTGATCCACTATCTTTCTTTTCTAAATCCAAATATTTTTTTTATTTTGACCCCATTAATATCCCAATGGCTAAGTGAGTGGTCCTTATCCACCAAGAAACATCTGAAAATATGGAAGATGGCTCTGTGCAGGATTTATGTGGTCATCGTTAAAGAGAGATTAAATCAGGAATAGTTTCTCAAAGTGTATATTTGGTTCTTGAGTTATCATTCAGATTCCAATCTCAAAGATACGTTGGCATTTACCACTCACTTCTACAT